CAAGAGTGGGGCAACAATCGAGATCACTTCACAAGCGGAGCAGCAGCAGAGGCCTGGGACAAATTCAAAGAAAATATGAAGAGGGAAATGACACAACTCAAGCAAAGCGCAAGAAAGAGAATGACAGGAGGATTCAGGCAGCGAATAAGGCGGCTGAAACGCAAGCTACACGCAGGAGGAGGAGAGCGAATCGAGGACGAGCAACAAATGAAGGAATGGGCAGCGGAATTGAAGAATTTGCAGGCACAGCGAAGGGCAACCAAACGGCGCGGACTCATCAACAAGGGTGCGTGGTCGTCGAAAGCGTCCACGAAATACTTTTTCATCAGAATATGCACGAAGTACGGAGACAACATCATCCCAACTCTGGCAAGGGCAGATGGAGCTCCCAAGAGGGGAGTCCACGAGAAGGCGGATACGCTGGCGGATAGCTGGGCCAGCATTTTCACAGGGTCAGCAGCGGATGTCGGCGGAGCAAAGGAATGCATAGCAAAGTACAAAGACCACTGGGAGAAGGTCGATCTCGCAGGGATAGACCAAAGAATATCGGAAGACGAAGTCGCAGCAGCCATAAAGAAATGCAAGGCGGGAAAGGCCTGTGGACCTGATATTATCGGGAACGAGTGGTATCGAGACAACGCAGAGAGGCTAGTGCGCATCCTGACCAAACTGTTTAACATATTCATGGAGGAGGGCAAGACGCCAAAGTCTTTCAAGGAGGCATACATATTCAGTATATCCAAGGGAGGGGACACGAGCAACGGGCTCAGCTACAGACCCATAGCGCTCCTGAGCACCGATTACAAAATCTTCACCCGAATCCTAGCGTGGAGAGTCAGAGTGCACATCACAAAGTTAGTGCACCCCACGCAATACGGGTTCATACCAGGCAGACAGATTCACGAAGCAATAGATCTGCTGGAAGCGACGAAACTGGCAGCGAAAGGCACGGAGGTGTACGACAGAGCGCAAGTGCTTCTGCTGGACTTCGCCAAAGCTTATGATTCGTTGGACAGGGAGTTGCTACACCAGGTATTGGAGGCGAAAGGTTTCCCACCAAAATTCAGAGAGATCGTGAGAACGACACACGAAGCCACCACCGTGCAATTTATGGCTAACGAATCACTATCGAGAGCGCTGGAAGTCACGAGCGGCATCAGGCAAGGGTGTCCCTTGGCCCCTCTCTTATTCATATTAGCAGTGGACCTACTGTACGATGCGGTGCAGAACGATCAGGATCTGGAAGGTGTGAGGCTGGAGAAAGGAGCAGACGGAGAAGAATTCAAGAGTAGCTGGGATATGCGGACGACACTGCGATTTATATTGCACACTCGAGCATGCAGAAGGCGGCACTGGGGGTAGTCAACAGATTCTCGAACGTCTCGGGACTACGACTTAACCTGAAGAAGTCGGTGGCAGTTAAACTGGGGAGGTTCACTAGCACAACTGACAGGGAGGCGGGTGACGAGGAACCGGTAGCAGAGGTGAATGAGACCCGATACCTGGGACATATTACAGGACCAGATGACACGACTGTGAGTGCATGGACGAAAGCCTTTGCGGCGTTGACCGCCAGATTGGCACTCGCTGTCGAAAAAACGAACTCTGTTTAAGAACAAGCAGCGATAGCAGCGGCGATCATCATACCCAAGCTTTTGTACGTGGCGCGGCATGCATGGCCAAACAAAAAGCTCACGCAGGAGGCAGACTGGAGAAATAGGAACTTTGTGTGGAACTCCTCTTTCGCAAAACCAGATATTCCGCCTCGCGGATGGATACAGACAGCGGTGGCAGAGCTGAGCCCTAAGAAGGGGGGCATAGGAATCCCCAACATTAGGACGGAGTTAGTGGCCATGGCAGCGACGACAGTGGAGAAGTGGGCAACAGCACTAACCAAGAGGACCCAAGTGGCAGGCACGCTGCTCCAGAGTAAGGAGGGGCTTCAGATAGGGCACATTATACCGACACAGGCGGCAGGAAAACTGAAGTGGAAGGAGGGACTATGGGCAACCGGGGCTCCGGTGGTGGCGACGGTCTTCGCACCAGAAGAACCTGATCCCGACCATAAAGAAGAGGTGGAGCTCAGGAAGGAGATGAAGCACGAGATGTAGCTCACTACTAGGTGGGACAAACGAGGTCTGATGTGTCAGATAGAATCGAGACTGCTGGGACTAATGAATGAGGCCAAGAAGCGCAGGGAAGAGCTCAGAGGAGAACTGATCCATTCAGCGGTACTGGAACAAGATTATTATCAACTGAGACTGAGGGATGCAAGAGGGGAGAAGCAGAAATGGACCAGCTACAGGAGGCGTTTGGATGGTCACAAAGTGCAGAAGATAAAGGACATTATCCAGGTGGAGCACGTCGGACACGGAAAGGTGCTGATGACCCCACAGACCGTGGAGTTACCCATGGAGAGTCGACAGGCTCACCTGTTGCGGGAGATCGCACTTTCGCTACTAGCGCAATTTCCGGAGCTAATATCCAAGCCGGATGAAGAAAACAAAGTGCGAGTCAAGCACACATTAGATGATCAGCACCACCGTTTTTGGGTGGAGCAGTCCACAGGAGAAGACAAACTCTATCACGGGTGGGCTTTTGAGGAGCAAGAAGTAGCCAAAGGGGGCAGCATCGCAGCGACTGAAGCTAATATTTCCGCGTTGCTTCAGACGAGAAAAGAGGCGGTCTGGGTAGCGCTGCACCCGGCGTTGACTCATATGAGGCCTCTGTGGATGGGTAACCGGAGCTGGAGCAGAGCGCGGGGAGATTACAAAAGGGTAATCGCGAAACGGCGGCAAGACAGAGTGGCCCAAGCACAGGAGCTCCTGACCAACAAGTTCGCTAACGAGCACAAGGAGCTACACAGGGCCCTCACGAAGCTGACCTGGAAGCACGTCCAGAGGTTGCATGGAGTCACGCCGTATCAGAAACAGAACATAGTCAGAATGAAGATGGGAAAACTCCGCCTGTGGAATGGAACCTCACATGACTACGCGTGCGTAGGGGCGAGGTGCGCGAAGTCATCAGCTCACGGCCAAGCGCACCTGCTGTGGCAATGTCCGGACGCAAGAGCAATATGGAGCACAATGTTAGAGCTGTGGGGAATGCCAGCACTGGAAGGGGGGGCGGAGCACGACAAGGAAGCGATACAAGACATTTTTGCCTTAAAGTTGAGCAAGCTGCCAGCTGGGCTAATAGAGTGGGGCAATGAACAACAAGACGAACGATGGAACGAGATGCACGAAGTAGCAGGCGCCGTGTGGACAATGGGATGCGCGACGATGATTACAGCTCTTTGGCGCTGGAAAGTAGCTGAACGCTACCCGGACGGGAACAGCAGACCGGAAGAGGTGGCCGAAATACAGCGAACAGGGGAAAGGATGAAGGAAGGCCTACTAAGGTACAGAGCGGGCCTCTTCCCGTTAACAGCGCGGTCGTACAACAAGCTCACGGTAGTGGAGCGAATTCGAAGGCAGTGGGCGGACGTAAGGATGACTGCTGGAAGTCGAGACAGAACCAACGAACGAGTACTGCTGGGGTTTTTCGATGGAGGATCCAGAGGGAACCCCGGACCAGGAGGAAGCGGTAGCGTATTAGTGAAATGGGGAAAAAGAAGAAGAGACGTATAAGGTGGTCTGGGCGGCGGCCACATCACTAAGCAGCAGACGCATGACTTACAACGTGCAGAGTTCGTGGGGCTGCAGCGACTACTAGCTGAAGCAGTGGCGAAGCAATGGAGCGGTATGCACGTGATAGGGGACAGCGCGATGATTTTGGGCTTGCTAAAGAAGAGACGAGAGCCAAAGGTAAAGAAGTTAAAGCACTGGTATTAACTGGCGAAGGAAGCTAGCGGACCAGCTGCAGATAACGGAGTGGAGACATCACTACAGAAGGCACAACAAGACGGCAGACTGGCTGGCAAATTACGCAATGGATACTAACCGGAGCGTGGTATATGGAGCTAGCCGGGAAGTGCAGGAGCACGAGCTGCGCCAAACGGCGGAACAATTGATCGCAGGCGACTGTGAGCAGTGGCGAAGCGAGAGGGACAGTAAAGACTAGCAAGAACAAGCACAAGAAACAGCAAAGAGGCAGCAAGTACCAAGAAGGATGGGTACAATCTGGCCGAGCACTACATGCCGGGCGGGAAGGGGTATTAGAGTTTAGACCGGAGACGGTTGGTAACACACTTATTATTAAAAGCGTAGAGGAATTGTGATCGCTGTTTCGATCTGCTTCGATTTTAATTGGTGGATTTTAGTTTGGTCGAAATGTAGCAAAGCTTTTTCAATCATCTTGGTAAAGGACTTTTAGTGGGTACTGCAACCAAAGTGTTGTACCCAGGGTAATTTTTTACATGTACAAGTTATAAAAGCAATGTCTGTCGTTTTCAGAAATGCGGACTTGCCCGTCCTCGTCGGGCACTCGTCATTATCGATTTCCTTACGATGACTTCACGTCGGACTATCAGAATTTCAACTCCAGCTTTGCTGGCCGTCGCGTTTCTAGCGCTAGCAGGGATCGGTTCGGTCACCGACGCGGCTAAATGTTTCCCGAAACCGAAGGGTGCACTTACTCCAACTATTACTGAGGCTCCATTTGTGACGGACCCGTCCCCCGCTACACAGGGCTCTTTTGAGTCCCCTCCAGAGACCCAAGGGAGCTCGTTTCCTACGGATACAGCGACGGAAGCGCCTGCAGGCCAAACTGGTTCATTGGAAGAAACTCCGACGACTGAATCGCCCGCTGCTCAGACACCGACAGCTGAATCGTCTGGTGCACAAAGTCCGACTGAGAGTTCTTCCGAGTCCAGTGAGGTAAGCCAGGGGAGCGCAACTCAGACTCAAGGATCCTCCGCTGTGATGACTGGAAACTCCACGTCGACTGGAGACCATGCAACGTTTGGCGACCTCACGTCGGCTAGCGGCAAATGCGTCATGGGCAACCCGAACGCAGGGGATGTCACTCGCGAACAGGTCGACTGGGTCTGGAAGAACACGATGGAAAAGTACATTCCTCAGTTCAAGAACCTCATCTTTGACCAGCTGGTCACTAACAAGGGCAAACTCAGCTACTGCGTGCGTTGGGACAATGACAAGAAGCTGGAGAAGGCCGTGGCAACCAAGTTCCAGGCCATACTCGAGAAGCAAATTAATCTCTGGAACCGCTGGCTCGTTGGCTACCAATGCTGGCCCATTGAGAAGATCGAAGTCTCCATCGTGGCCTACGCTGTAAAGGACAAGTCCATAATGGACTGGACGGATGACTCACTCGGCACCATCTACGAGGGGATCTTGGATGCCGAAGGAAGCCCCAAGTGCCCCGATGAGTGCTACAAGCACCTGAACCAGGCTGCTAGTGCCGACACGAGTGCGTGTAAGAGCGAGCCTTTCGATATGTCCTTCTGGCCGTCGACGAAGCCCGGCGACGGTGCAATTGGAACAGGCGGGGACTGGGGCCAGCGTGTTGAAGTGAATGACATGCTCAACACCATGGATGGCGAGGAAATGCTGGTGCTGTTGCACGAGATTGGCCACGGATTCGGATTACCAGAGATGTATGTGGATAAGAACAAACCCGCAGACTACCCGGCATGTGTGATGGATAATAGTGCAACCCTCACGGACGGCGACGGCTGGCTGCTTCGTAGTGTCCTGGAACACATCAAGTCTCGCTATAACTTTTAGACGGATCGTTTGCCTGCTTGTTTTTGTGCCTCGAGAATTTGTCGTAGGTGTATGAGTTTCAGGTGCTTCGTATCGTTTTAAAGCCTCAAAATACTTCATTGAGTCTTACCGTGCTTCTAACATGCGTACATGTACATGTATACGACTTTTTTTGCTTACGTTTTTGGCACAGTATAATAGAGTCCGCAATCCTAATGTTGTAGAATTGTCTTTCGTCATCATTTGATGAGAAGCCACTTCTATTAATACTGGCTTTTTATAACGGAAGCTCATTATGTTTTTGATTTGATTTGCAGCAGTTTTCGTCTGATCGATACCCATCTGTTCCGGTAACGTAAATTGAGTTTTTTTTTAAATTAAAATACCGGAAGGTGTACCGGTACTGTGTATGGTTGGAAAATGCAATGCTAGGTTTATGCACAACTTGGTGTCGGTCGGCATCAAGCTCCTAGAACGCAGCTGTATTCTCGAATGCGTCTAGAAGACTATCCACCGCTTCGTTATAATATACATGTGAAAGGGAATCCCTTCAAGGGATTTTTACTATTACCGTATTCCTTATGTGATTGGCGACGCTCGGTCATTAGCGACAAATCCAGCAGCCAATCAAATTGATTTAAATTTCGTGTCGTCGCGCTTTATGTGCTTGGCGACCAATATAATTTTGAGCATGTCATATAGTTTTTTCTATGCAGGTATCTTTTATGCTGGCAGAAAGGCTGGACCACCTCAAGAATTTGACTGTCGCCAATCACATAAGGAATACGGTAATACCGAAAGTAATCTGTTGTCGCTACTGATATGTGCGCTAATCAGTCGTACATGTCGTCGACAAACAAAACTGATCGTTATGTCGTAGGGGAAGGACAAACAGCTCTTCAACTGTCGTGTTGCAACTGTCAGTTTTAGTGTGCTTCTTATCAACCTTGTTCGTGCTTATACCTAACATTATCGACTTTATTTTATACTTCAGTAGAAGTAGATGTTTACTTATCCGCAATTGACCTCTACTTAGTTCAGCAACAATTTTTTTAAAAACCTAAAGCAAAAGCATAGAACGACAAAATCGGGCAACAAGTTTGTTGAATAAGTACAAATAGAACACAAGATACTCTCTCTGTCGGGATCCGATTTAATAAATAAGTGTTACTGTACCGGTACCATGCAACAAGTACAGACGTGCTCCTGCCAAGGCCAAGCATCTACATCATTTATACCGGCAGTGCCGTAAGTTAGCAGTAACACAACGTTTTGACCTGGTAGCATAATCTTCTGGTACGTGCGTACAACAAGATGACCGACACCTTGGCCGCCAAAATGGAAAACAGGACGATAGACGCACCCAACCGTGTACAAGTACAACCTTCAGTAGTCAGGATCTTGGCTCTGACTCGGGCGAAGTATAATCGCATGTACCAACGACATTGGCCATAGCCTACTAGCAGCCATGATTAGAGTCTTTTGAGGCCCGTGACCCACAGTAGTCAATGACTTTGGGGTATTTCGAGCTGTGAGGCCACGGGCGGGCGTTCGCCGTCAAGGTCATTACATTATATGCCGTTTACTAAAGTTAAAAAAAAAAACAATCATGTTCTATTAAAAAAAAATAGCACAGAAAACATGTTTTTGTTTTGAGGTTCACTTGGCGGCACAATGTAGCGATTGTTGTACCGAAGGTCGTAACTTTCATCTACATGTATACGACTAAGGTAATGATGTTGTGAGTCACAACTTATGACCTCCCATCTGGTCCAGATTATTGGTTTTTATTCTAGATTCTGGAATAAAAACCAATCATAATGTATGGTGCATCCCATCCGGAACGCTAATACATTGCTCACGTCTTAATCGCTGATACGTCGAATAGAGCTGTCGACGTCGCGACCCTTGGCACCGATTCGACGTCGACGACGCCGGACGATCTTTTACACTCGATGTCGCGTTGCGCCACGCCGACACCCATGCGTTTCTCGTAGTGATATTGGTCGAAACTATGCGAAAGAGCCCATCATTAACCTGCCATTTTTCAGCCTGCTAACTCCCATATTTATCATGCGTATGGCTCCCACTTCTAAAGAGATCCTCATGGATCTTGGCAAGCCCACTCCGTGCCCACCGTACCGCTCATTTTGCACCCATTGACACTGCGTCAGCAACATGTGCTTAGCTCATCGGGACCTTGGCCCATTCTTCAATTTCGCAGGAGACGCCGACAAGAACATCGCGGATGCCATGGCGAGCGATAGAGATACAGACGTGAACAGTCTGGCAACCCCTCCAGCAAGAACTAGACCCGACTAGCAAGCCCAGCCACCACGAAAGAAAACGAAGCATGTACTTGGTACGTCGTCAGCAAGACGGACACGTACAATGCCATCCAAATCGTCACGATCACGGTGGGGCTCGCCAAGGACACCTCGATCAACACGCTCAGGAACTTCTCCTTCAAGAATTTCTTCGAGAGCAACACGGTCATGTACGAGATCGAACGTACATACAGTATTGATGTCGCGGCGGTCGCCATCACGAGCACTAGAGTCGTCCGTTTCCCGAGCAAGTCGAAAGTATCCAGCACTAACCAAGGTGACGCAGTGTCCAGCGGGACGGACTTTCCCGGTGCCTAACCAAAGAGAGAAGGCGTATTATCAGTTCGTCGTGTGCGTCGCGGACGATAAGTACGCCACAGTGAAAAGAGAAGAGCTAACTCGAGAGCAGGCCAGATGCTTCTAATGCCTAAGCTGCGACGAAGTAGTGAAAGTGGTAAAGGGCAAAAGCAAGATTGGTCCCCATATGCAGAAATATCACGCCGATGCTTTGCACATGTTTGAGGAGAGCGCTCGACTTGCAGAAGAGCTTAAAAACTCAAAACAATTTAAAAATTTGTTCGAGTCGACAGGAGAATCTGCGCAGAGCCGCTTTGAAGGCATTTTAGCTGGTTAGATCGGTCGCGATATGCGACCTGCTAGCATTGTTCATGATCCCGGGTTTGCTCAGGCCATCGCATTTGCCAATAGTGCACAGGAGCCGCTGTCTGTTCCTTCTCGTCAAACTATTATGAATCGGGTCCAGCGGAAAGCCTCGGCATCACGGATGTCACTCAGAGTGACCTTGGCACGTGATGATGAATGCACCTTTTTCTCGATATCATCGGATATATAGACATCGATAAAATGTAAAAGCTACATTAGCTTTACCATTCACTACGTGGATGTGTACTTCAACATGAAATCGTGGACACTCGAAGTTCGCCTAATTCCGGGAAAAACATGATGGGGATTCCATTGCGTGTGCACTTTCAGATTGCTTTTCGTGGTGGAGACTCGATCCGAAGAAGTGCGTACGCTTTCTGAGAGATGGGGCATCAAATATTACAAGTGCATGCTCAAAGCTAGGCATTACTCACAGGTCGTGTGCTGCGCATTCGTTGCACCTGCTGCACTAATGATGAAAAGTGAAGAGCGAACTAGCAAGGTGGCGGTAGACGCGGATGGCACAGTCATTAGTGACACTGCTAGCTCGATAAGCACCGACGTCTCTGGAATCGATTGTGTCCTCAATACTTTAGAGTCTCATCTTGCGCATTACTCCTGGATAGATGAAAGGTTGGAAGCTCTTGAAAATTGCGCAGACGATGGAGATGAACTCGACGAGTTCGTTAGTGCTGCAGACATCGATTCCATTTTCGCGCAAGTTGCAGCGTTTGTTGCTGACGTTGAGAAAGTTGTGGCGTCTGAAGTCAGCTCGATCGATATGGAGTCCGCTCGACAATCTGTGTGTAATTTTCGCAGCTTAGCGGAGTACTTTCGCCGCTCTCAAAAAGGATCCAACCGACTGAACCACTGTCAACTGAGTCGAAAAGCGCCTCTTAAAGTGAAAATCGACTGCCCAACAAGATGGAACAGTACACTGGATATGCTTCAGCGCTTTGTTGAACTTCAGTCACTTCTTTACGTATCTTCTGTCGGTAAATGGTCGAAAAGAGTTCAATGATGCCGCCTCAAAGAAGCTGAGCCTACCCAGCTCTGAACAGTGGTTTACAATTCAATGTCTCATTGAGCTGCTGGCACCATTTAGTGTTGCGACGAAGAAGCTCGACGGGGAGACGTATCCCACTTTAGTTTCGCTCCATCTTGTTATTTCATCGCTCAAGATAATGCTCAGCGATAGATCTATGTTTGATGCGCTGTACGCAAGCGTGGAGAAAGAATCGTTTGCTTTAAGAGTTTTCAGCACGATGCAGTCCGTTCGTCGGAGCTTTTTGGCACTTTTGTCTAAGCGTTTTGATCCTGATAAAGACAAGGACCTTTTGTGGATTTCGCTGCTGGATCCCTACGTGACGAGCTCACCGCTTTTCACTGACGAGGAATTTGCGATGGCGAAAAGCAATTTTGTTCGTGAAATGATACCAGTTATGAGAGAGAGAGCTGCCGGGGATGTCAGAAATCGATCTGGCCCCCAGTGTCAGGAGGAGCAGCTCAATAACCCCATTGACAGAGCCAAACAGCAGTTGAAGAAACTGCTGTATATTAGAAGAATGGGAAAGCAGGGTGCTACGACAGATAATGAGATCGCTGTTGCTTGTGAGCTGGAGTTCAGCAGCTATATAGTTTGTCATACGAGGCGGAGGTAGCCGTGGACCAGGAGAAACCACCATCGGCGTTGTCGTGGTGGAGAGAGCACCATTCAAGTTTCCCCACAATTGCTCATCTTGCTCGCAAGTGGCTTGGTTGTATTGCCACATCGGTGCCGTCGGAGCGTGCATTTTCGACTGCTGGTAACACGGTCACAAAACGACGCAGTTCGCTGAAGGCGGATACTGTCAGAGATATTCTCTTTATGGCTGGAAATTTCTCTGTGTGAGAGCTTGACTTGACGGCGCTGGATTGGCCGACGCCCGGATTACGTGTATACAATGGTCGTAGGATAGTGACAGCCGTGCAAGTGATATCACTTAATGCATGGTGAATACTGTTCTTGCGCTGTTGAGTTTTCGTTTCGATTCACTGACAGGATTATATTCTAATGGTGTACTAGTGATTCAAAAGCGATGCCCCGAAACGAGTAAACCAAAGTCAGCTCGAGCTTGCAATATGTACTCCCAAATCAAATCAGCTCACAAAGAGCAATACTAACGTTACCCGGTACTCCGAAATAACTGTTTGGCTAGTTCTGACATGACTTCACCGCAAGTTGCAGATTTGAATCGGGCTCTTCACAGCATTAAACGCCAGCCCTTTCACATGACCCGATCGTCAGACTTTATATCTCCCAAAGCGAACGGGACGTCAGGATCGTTAGGATATTTACTTGTAAATCAGAACTTTGCCAGACTGCATCACCACTTATACCCTTACTTAGTGCTCGCTGTCCTCTCCACATTAGCCATGTAATTGCACTCCGACGCCAAGCAGAATATAAACGTCATCACACGCTTTTAACCAGTATCAGAGACGGGCTTGGTATTTTCTACAGCACCGAGGTGACTACTATTAGCAGACTCCTTGATCATACAAGCGCCCAAACTTCTTTTACAGCTCCTTGGACATCTTCAGCGCCAATTCAGTACCGCTAAATTGATTTGGCGTCAAACTCGTGCACCTTGTTGTCGGTCAGCTTCTACCACGCGGTCATCGGAACGTCGACCAGATGACAGCACTCGAATGCACGAAACCAGCGCGAAGCACAAATTGATGTCCGGGTACTGCAGCTTCTGTCAGTCCCTGCTTGCTGCTGTGCGACGTGCACGTCGGACGTTCCTCTGAGGGTCTGTACCAATAGATGGAATGGAAGCTTCAAAGGGCCATGGAGGACGTTCAACAACAACGCCAGATTTGGCGAGGTTGCTCTCCACAAACAGCAGCACCTTAATTCGAAAGAGTGACTCATTGGTGGGTGTCGAAGGGGTGTATTTTTTACGTCGTTTGCATTTCTGGATGTCGAGGTGTAAATCTTCGAATACCGACAGCTCTAACGTCGAATCGCGTGCCCGTTTTACAGCAGAAACAAAAAAAAACAAATTGATGCAGAAGTGCTATCTTCTGCTCACTTGTGCTATGTCCCCAGCAGTTGGTATATTGAAAATGTACGTTGAAACACCTTGTACGTACGTCACCCAAGTGCTCAAAGCTTCTCCACCAGATGGCCACGTACACCAGCGTGCAGTAGGCATCGACTTCAAATAATGGACTACTGGTACATATACTTGGTTCGACAACTTGGTTTACTTGTCGTGTCCTCGACCCCCCCCCCCTCCTACCTCCTTTGAGCTCGTTCCCTGTTGTCTTCAGTCGTCATTCTCATTTTCTCCACCATGGCCCTAAGCACGAACAGCAAGCGCATTTCTGACAAGCAGCTCTTCGTCACTGCACTCGCTGCATCGGTTGCCGCAAGCTCCGAAGCCGCCGGCAGTAGCAACTCCAGCTCGGCCAATCACGCCACGTTCGGTGACATCACATCGGGAAGTGGTAAATGCGTCACTGGTAACCCCAACAAGGGAGGCGTCACTCGCAACCAGGTCGACTGGGTCTGGAAGAACACCATGTCCAAGTACGTGCCGGACTTTAAGAATCTCATCTTCGACCAGCTCGTGACCAACAAGGGCAAACTCAGCTACTGTGTGCGTTGGGACAACGAGAAACCACTCACCAAGGCCACTGCGTCCTAGTTCCAGGCTGTGCTAGAACAGCAGATCAATCTCTGGAACCACTGGCTTGCTGGCTACGAATGTTGGCCGTTCAACCACATCAACGTCGATATCGTAGGCTGCGCCGTAAAGGACAAGTCCATCATGGACTGGAGCGACGATTCGCTCGGAACGATTTACGAGGGCATTTTGGACGGTGAAGGAAGCCCCAAGTGTCCGGACGAGTGCTACAGTCGCCAGGGTCAGACCGACACGAGTGGCTGCAAGGGCAAACCCTTCAACATGTCTCTCTGGCCGTCGACATCGGTGGGTGAGGGCGCTGTCGGTACGGGCGGTGACTGGGGTCAGCGCATCGAAGTAAACCACTTTCTAGAGTATCTGGACAAGGAACATCAGATGACTTTGCTGCACGAAATGGGTCACGGTTTTGGCTTGCCGGAGATGTACGTGGCCGAGAACAAGCCTTCGGGCTACCCTACTTGTGTGATGGACGAGAATTTCTCGCTCACCGACGGCGATGGATGGCTGCTTCGTAGCATTCTGGAGAACATTAAGTCTCGTTACAAGTTTTAAGGTTGGCCAAGCACTGAAGTGGTCTCCTGGTTTGTCGCGATAGAGTTTTGATTTTTTGTACAGAAAATTGTTGTTTGTAAAAGTGATTTCAATAGAGCAATTACGGATTTTACTGTTGATAATTGTTTTTTTTCTTAACGTAGTCTATCTTATGCTCGACAAGTGCGGTTAACGCATACAGTCCGTCGAGCTTATGATCGGTGTGTTTGCGCTTCGAATTTTGCATTTTACACTACGATTTGAGTTGATACTACATGTAAGTATTAATACATTTAGTCAGTCGTGCAACAGCTTTAATGTTTGTTTAGGCTGTGTTCGACTTCTAAGCTGGATTATGCCCAAAACAGCTGACCTTAAGCTGAAAACAACTGTGTTCATGTGTGCTGAGGAAGTTCCATAAGTCAGTAATAAGTACTGATATTTGAGATCGAGGATGTGAGTATTCTTGGAGTGTTGAAGAATGTAGTGTTATAATACATGTACTATTTATACTTCAGTTCAAGGATGAAATTTGTGGTCCACAGAAAAAGATACAGCGTTATTACAATTTTCTTCAGGTATTAGTACCGTTAAGGGTACAAATATGAAATTGAACAGGTAATAAGCGGAGTTTTTAATAATGTGTTTAAAAGTCGGTACACCCTAAACCCTAGTATACCGGTAGGCACGTGTATTGAGCAAAAAGCCAACATCGCATGTTCTTGAATAATATGCAAATTAAGTGCACGTGTGTATCCTTCCTTTAGGGTAGTTATCGTACTTTCACCCCGGTCTGCAAAAGATCGACGCGATGCGCTCACAGAGGACGTGTGTAACGTGCTAACAGTAAACAAATGTAGCATCAGCATACACACTGATAATACAAACAGTCGCGACGACAGCACTCGCTACGAAATGCTTCCCTTACAAAAGGACGGACTACCTCAGCCGTCAATCTCGCGTCTCTTTGGCTTGCAGTAGATCAGTAGGTCTAGCTTGTAGATTGTAGCTCGATCAGCTGTACGATAACAGCTCGCTCAGCTGCCTCGACAGTGAAGTACGCCCCTAGTAATGAGGTGGGCTGCCGCAACAGCCAAGCTCGCACGCCGGATGCACTTCAGAGTAGATGCGTAGATTGGAAGATTGGGTGATAGAATGAGTAAATAACGCTAGATGGCAGCTCACTCAGCTACCACGGCGACAAATACGCCCCTAAAAGAGGGGCAGCAGTTATGATAGCGAAAGAACAAGAAGCCTTACCCTTCGCGGGAGTGACACGCTTCATGTGGAAATAGTTGCGAAATGATCGGGGGCCTCCGTGTCCTATTAATAGCAGCTTGATAAATGACTGGTGAAATTTCTGCGAGAACTGGCCAGTTTGTGACGACTGGTGAGAGTACGGCGCAGAGGAACAGCGAAGAGGAGCGAGTCGCGTGGCGAGGAGCGAAGCGGAGGAGAGCGGCGAGAGTGCAACGATGGGGAATCGAAGGTAAGGCGTAGGAGGCAGTTGATGTGCCTCGAAGAAGGTAAATTGGAAAGTGAGATTGAAATGGCTAGTTGTTTGTCGGCTACGAGGAAGTGCTTGATAGCATTCCCTTGGTATTTTATGTAAGTGTATGCATTTCACTATACTAGGTTCTAAGCAGTCCTTGAGTCGAATCTTGAAGTAGCGTAGCGTAGTAGTGAGCCGCGATTCATTTGAACCGGGTCAGAATCTCCATAGTGAATTCAAATTAAAAAGAATGACTGTCATTGAAGTTCCATCGTTGGCAATACTCGTCTAAACATGGTGATTGCCTTCCGGTCAGGCGTGTGTCTGCCTGGCCGCTCATTGGCAACTTAAGAAGACAGTTGGCAGTCAGCAAAGACACGTAGGAAGAAAATAGAAGAAAGTAGGACGCATTGGTACCAACGTCATGGCCATCGCTGGCTGTGACGTTGGTGCGCCGCTACAAAGTTCCTCTCACATCCTTTTCTCAGATTTCGCTGAGAACTGATTCTCATTAAGAACACAAATCCCCCCCCAGGCCACGCAGCTTCACGCTCAACGCAAAGTACGCTCGTTTTCTCTATGTACTGCTACGCAAGATCTTTTGATCTCCACAGCCCAGTGACATATATTTCCGGACAAGGTGCTGTGCGGCGAATCTCAAGCAACTAATTCGAGAAAAGTGTCAGGCCTTCTTTATCGGTCCACTTGCTTAAACCTTCTCGCCAGTGTACTGACTGATCACTTATGCACCAACGTACAAAAAGCCAAAAGTAGCCACTACCTTGCGTTCTCATGCTCCAACCAAACTCCACCGTTACAAGTACAAAGCACGCGTCTTTGCATTGTGCTAACGTTAGATTTGAACCGTGATTACGGTCCACACTGCCGAGAAGGACCGGTTCAGGCGCCAACTTTACGGATAAACACATTCAAGAGGCACGGGTGGTAGCCAGATATGTTTGCCGGAAGACAGTTAAGGGTAAGTATCACGTCTACATTTTCACAGTATCAACTATGTTTAACACACTGCGCCATCATTAAGTTGCTGATTAAGCCAACTCCGTTGGTAGCACAATATTGCAAGTATTTAGTCTCTCCGCGCGCGCTCACAGAAGCGGTGGGTCACAAGCGCCAAGGATCACAGAGAATTCTCGCAAAGCTTTTGTAAGCTTGATAATGTAAAGATTTTCATAATAATTCTTCGGTCCGCTAAAAACAATTGTAGGAAGGATTTTTTTTTTATAAAACTCGTCCACGATCTTTTTCTTCCATGTACGATTGGATAAAACGAATCAATAGACGATTTGTATGTCAAGCTGATTGGCTGTTTTTGAAGCGACTATGAATTAAATTGCTTTTGGTGATACCCACGAGTCACCCTTCGGTTGGGAATGACGTATTTACAACATGCAATAGCAAAGCATTTAAAATAGCTTACTTGTGGGCGACCATTTAACTGATCACTTTGTGGAGGGCTGAATTTTGTTTTTCGCAGCATCACCAGAAATAATCAGAATCAAATTTAAAAAAGACCCTGAAGAAAGAAGCTTATTCCAGCGATAAATGGTTTTAATTCCATAACGGACCCGAGAAGTAAGCTGCACCTAATAAAGAGAGACTATATGGGCTGTTTCATTTGACGTATGATGCAATAGCAAATTACCTGGGAATTACCGGAAATTACAAGGCCACTGACTATATAATCACCGGACGAGCTTCCGGTATTTTCCAAATTGCTCAGCAGCTGCCATACAAAAATGTAGGTATAATAACAAAAGCTGCAGGACAATGGAAATCACCGGACAGCCATCCAGTGATCAAACTTAAGAGGTCGCCGAACGGTCACTCTGATAGCTCCCTCTGCGAACAACCCGATGGCTGCCAACGACGAGATCCACCTTGCTGAGTTGGACGAAGAAGCTGCCCTCCCAAGGGCTAGTACAATCGCGACAAAGTCGCGTGACAGCTACCTTAACTCTGCCGCTTAAATGCTGACTTGGATGCCGTCCCTAATTGCTGCCGAGCTCTGCGACGAGCTGCAGTTTGATTGCAGGGGTGATGCAACTAAATCGTCAATTCTCGCTGCACTCTCGTCTGCACCGGACAACCCCCCCCCCCTGCTTATATTTAACGAAGTGACGGTGGCTGACTTTTAGCTTGGATAGTGTTCATGAAAAACAAAAACGACGGTCTCCATTCGCTCTCAACCTATTAAGGGCATCGATCGGCACTGTATAACCTTATTCGCGACTACCATTGTATCATGACTCCTCAGCTAGAGCGCGAGCTGCTAGCTGTCATTTTAAGGATTTGCAACATCGAGTTGCGGGTGCAATTAGCTGTAGGAATGGATCAATTAAGGTTAACAAAGATTCAATGACTTTCGGTCTCTACCGTAGCATTGCAGCGGAAATGATGAAATCTTCGTCGCGCGAGATAGTGTTCGCGCGACCGTTTCATCTGATGTCATGGAACCAAATGTCTCGAGCCGCAAATACAGTATCTCTATGCTATAGACACATGGAGTGGGGTGAAGATGCCCTAAAAGTGTTTTTCGGCCGCATGAAAAACGACTAGGGCCCAAGAGACTCTCAGCACATATACGCAAGCCCCCTAATTCCTAACGTTTGCCCAATGCTCGCTATCGGTGCGTACTACTAGATGTCATTTTGCCTCATAATGTTGCTCGTAGCTGAAACATTAGCGATCTATCGATGTAGGTTTGTATGGGCTGGTGTATAGAGTTGACTCGAGTGCAGCTCAAGTATTTCCCGGGAGCGACCAGTACGATCGCTTCCGCGCTTCGTCAAGTACTAGAGAGTACCAGTATGACACATGAGCTAGAGCGCCGTGGTACAAGCTGTGGTGACATCGGTATTATTTCTATGGGAAAAGGCACTGCTACATACTGTTCGTCCGGTTCAACGGCTTGTCCGCCTGCCATTGCCGTTTGTTTACGGGCTGGGTGGGCCCGGGGGGGGGGCTCCAGACCGATATTTAGGGTACGACGCAGCCGAAGATATGCTCGTTTATCAGACCGTATCGGGTTTGCTTATACCCGATGCTGATTTTGCTACCTTACCACCAGGATTTCGAGAAGGGTGTGAACAAGTGGAGTCGGCCAAGCTAATTGCTTTTCGCCAACTACCCCAATGCGCGTCTCTAATTGGTAAATTTGCGCTGGATCCGAATTCCGATCATTGAAAGCCGCAGTCGAAAAGCAGCGCACACAGCAGCAGAATGTCGTAAGCGATGTAGTTGCTGGTGCTCGTTTAGCTCTTGATGATGCATCAGATACCCGGGGTACTCCGAACTGTGCCCGCATTGCAGCTACATTTCTTGGTTGCCTCAAGAAGGAGGGTTATCGGCGCCATCAACCGGATCCGGGGGACAGAGGCGCTCAGTCTGGTACAGTCACAGTCACAACGACGGTCACAGCAACGGCTGATCGAGCCAGCAGCACCAACTTCGCACTTGACAGCTGGAGCGGAAGTTTTCACGCTCTGTCTGAAGGTGTAACACCTTCCGAAGGCACGGCTGAGCAAGCATGAGTGTTTTGGTGCTGCGAGGATGCATCAAGATCTCTACCACCGTTTCGCAGTCTAAAGAGTCTCGATCTGAGAGAATCTAGGCAGAGAAACGACTTTCAGACCTCAAGTATTTAATGGGACTGTTCGAACAGCAAGCAGCATCGCTCAATATCGACACACGAGCACTTACCGCCGAAGTAGCCGTACTTGCTTTTAGCCAGTGCAAAAGCGTCTTAGCAGAACCTGGCGTGACGCCAAACGCGCGCAAGCGGCAAGGTAGTCAGTTGGTATGGTAAACGGTGACATCTATTATGCGGAAGAGATTGAGAGAAGTCAGCAGCAATAGAAGCGTTAGCAAAAGCTCTATTACCGTAAAGGGTCCTTAACATGCGTGCGATTGCAGATGCCGACTGTAGAGTTTGTCGTGTAATCACTTCAATATCTTATACGTACCCCTGTCCGGTAAAACCTGATAAGTGCCCAGTTAATTCCCTTTACAGTGAAACTTGTTCTGTCTACATTTAGTCGGTAGAGAAGTGGATACGCATGCGTTCGCCTTTATCAAAAAACATTAACAGCAATATAATATGTTTTAGTTTAGAAACTACATCTCTCATTATCCGGATATGCATCCGGATATTCAGTGCTTTGTTTGGGTACTGCAAAATGGCAACGACGGTTAAGAAGTGCCTCAAGCTGCACAAGCTCTTCGTAAACGAGGTTCGCCAGCTCCTCCTGACGCGTGATTCCATAAATCTACAGCTCTAATTCCTTCTCTCTAACACAAGCTTCGTTTTGTCTGTTGTACCGCTACTCGGTCGTCATTTGGTCCTCAAACGACTGGTGCAGCTGGCGCGCAGTACCCGTCTCGAGTCGGAAGGTTCTCAGGTGTTGTCCTCGCTTTCCAATGTCAGTCAGCGAGTCCCAACCTTGTTGCAGTCTAGTAGTGCGAGATCCGACGCGAATAGTGACGCCGAGGGCAATGTGGAGGTGATGGGAGTGTTAAGCTACTCCTGCAACACTCAGGAATTGCTACTTCAGAAGCACTTTTTGGCCATGGAAAAGAGCCGCGGGTTCTTGGCGGATATTCTTCGGGACTACCAAGAGTTGCTTCGTCATATTCGGTCTTTTACGTGCGAGTGTGTGACACTTGTTGATGACGCATTCATCGAAGGGGACGACTCTTTAAGTGTCGAGGACGAAATGGCAATTTTGACTTTCCCCTTGCAGCTGCAAGAGTGGATGGAGACGGTGCTGGCAATGCTTGAACATGAAGTGCTGCGGAAAACGAGGCTCGTGGCGGACCTGGAGTACAATGACACGGGGAGATTGAGTCGTGTGGCCAAGCAGTGGAGCTCCCAGGGAGCCATGGGCAACGTCGACAACGACTTCGGTGCGTCTTATTTTGACGGAGTTTTGCTCCACACGTAGGCTAATCTGTGATATATCTGTAGTGCAAACAGGTCTGCAGTTGCCACAAGCCAAGGCGTTACCGTCTGTCGAGGACGCTTCGCATAGCAAAAGCAAAAAGAAGAAGAAAAGCAAAGCCAAGAAATGAAAAACCCGGCCATCGTCCTCTAATTTGCCTACATTTGTTTCCCCAATTGCGCCACACTGCCACGAATTCTCATACAAATGGGATGCCACTAAAAGTGCGCACCTTGTACGCCGGATACTCGTCCGGGAAAAAGCCAAGCAGCAACTGCTCCTCATATCTACAGCACGGAGGGCAAAACCTCAATAAGTACCGCAGATTATATCTGGTAAGTCACCGACAACGTACGGGATGCGGTCGTGGAAGAAGCTCCAGGCTACGAGCGAGTAGCCGACCGCGCACACAGGATTGGCCAGCAGGATCTGGCTGCCCACGATCCACCAGAACCAGCCCAGGTAGCTCGGGTGGCGAATGAAACGATAGACTCCGTGCGTGACCAGTTCGTGCTCCTTCCTCTTAAAGTATTCGATTCGATGTGAAAAGTTATTGGCAGCAGTGCTCATGGCCGACACGCGAAAGAACTGGCCCAAAACGACCAGTGCGATGCCCACAGGACGCACAAATGTGTGCAACTTCCAGCCTGGCACGAAATAAAGTTCCAGGAAGAACTCCAAGCAGCTAAAGAGCACTGCCAGATGATACTCTCGACTGTGGTTGAGCAGGAAAGCTACAGCAGCAACAAAAGAGCACGTAAACATTCCATATTAGCCACAAGTTTGCCATTGTTGCCGGCAAGTGTTGCCGTTGATTAGGTGTCGACAGATATTGCCACAAAGCCACGGCAAAAACATACACTCATAGCTGACATTTGCTGGGCGGTAGGCGGCTGTGAGTATAAATTCCATCAGATGGAAAAAGCCCAGTGCCAACGCGTACAAACTCCATTGCTCCAGGCACTGCCAGCGCAATATTGACGTTGCGTCTTGGGACGAGTCAGCCAACGCTACGAGCTCCGTGTAGAGTAACAGACACGCGTGTACGGTCATAAACACGCCCAATCCGAAAGCCGCCAACGCCACTTTGCCCAGCCCGCGGTCGGAGCGGAACGCCTCGGAGCGGAACATGGTGGCGACGCCACGCAAGTAATTGAAAGTTGGTGAGTTGGGGAGATGTCAATTGTTAATATTGAATCCTGCAAAAAATGGTGTTTGTAATTTTGAAAGGTGAGCTTCGAAGATTGGCCAAAATCTAAGGCCAATCAGAGAGTCGTAAATAAACAACTTCAACATGATGTTTTGCTAATAGAAAGCTGTTGCAGCACCATGATGGAAAATATAAGCATGTGTTTACTTTTATGTTGTTAGGAGAAGCGCAATCGGAGGACTTCAAAGTCGACTCGACAAACGAGAATGGAGTTGGCACGGGTGGAGAAAGAAAGAATGACAACGCGTGAAGTGAAGGATTGCCGTGCGAGAGCATGAAAGTTAGGTCGCGGCCTAGAAGACGACAGCCGACGTGACGCCACTCTTGGTGACGGTCGATCCCTTGCCGCTCTTAAGCCAACAGGTGCCGGTGTTGTGGTTGCTCCACGTGAAGGCGCGGCAGCCGGTCCTCGCGCGGCACTTATCGCAGCAGTCTGCCGGCTTACTTTCCGGAACGTTGTCGATGTCGTTGCCCACGTAGTCCTTGTTCGCCTCAAGCTCGCATGGTAGCGGGTTGTTCAACATTTGACTCGACACGACGCCCACCTTGTACTGCGTCTGTCCTTTGGCACTCTTGAGCCAGCACGTACCACCGTTGGCGTTGCTCCACGAGAACGAGCGACAGCCGTTCCAGTTGTGGCAAATGCTGCAGCAATCGCTGTAGGCTTTGCCTGGAGCGTTGCCGATGTCGTAGTTGATATAGTCGAGATCATACTGGAACGCCTTACATTCACTTACCGTGGTCTGGACCTCAGCCGACTTTGCGCCAGCCTTTGGGACCTCCGAGCCCTTCTTGCTCTTGAGCCAGCAAGTGCCACTATTTTGGTTGGTCCAGGTGAAGGCTTTGCAGCCTGGCCACGATGAGCAGATTGAGCAGCATGCACCAGCGTTATTGCTCTGTACGTTGGCGATGTCGTTGCCTTGATAGTCGTAGCCGTCCTTGAGCGTGCATGGGGCTGAGTCCTCCACAAGAACCGCTGATGTAGCCGCTGCGTTAGCAGCAGTGTTGCCTTTGGCACTCTTGAGCCAGCAGGTTCCACCCTGATGGTCAGTCCACGTGAAGGCACCGCAGCCGGATGTTTGCGAGCACAACGTGCAGCAGTCCGTCACCTTCACGCTCGAGACGTACTTGATATCGTTGCCAAGGTAGTCGACACCGGAAGTTAGCGGGCACGAAGCCAGCACCGGCTGCGGTAGAAATGGGTTCTCGACCAGCGAACGCAGACTGAGAGCGTCAACTCGAAGCAAACAAAGGGCCAAAAGAAGCACGAGAACTTGGAAGCGCGTCATGCTCGATAGGAGAGGGTAGTCAGCTGACTGGGAGGGGTAGCTGGATGCTTGGAGTTGTTGTTTGAGGAGGTGGTTCCGCACTAGACGGTGAGTTTTGAAATGAACTCGTGAGGTCCCCAAGTCGGAAGTGTTGGGATAGCACTACTCAAACAATCTCGAGCATGAGTATGTCTTACAAAGAAAGTCACGCTGGAGGACGCCCAGTATCCAGCTTACTGAAAAGCCGACGCTAGTCACTCGTAGCGAGCACCTGCCCTGTACCCATTTAATCAAGTGCAGTCCAGTATTTAAAGATCGAAGTGGCGCTGATACCGTTCAACGCACCCAAAGCGTTGGAATCGACAAGTACGTGTATGATGACTCCACTGCTAGACGGGAGCATTGAGAGTCGAAGTCTAGCGAGAAGACCAGCTTCTCGCTTTGCTTATTACCGGAATTCCTGTAGCCAAGCGCAACACCAAGGTGTCCTACTGTACGTAATACAGCAGCAAGAGTCTTGCTGAGCATGCCAAGACCACACATTGGAGATAGGGAAAGGTCAGTGCATTTAATTTTTCTGCCCGTGCATGTACATGTACTGGTTATTTGCACCCAAAACACGTGACGAGACGTGTTTACATGTTGAAGTTGCAAGCGTTATGATCATTCGGTGCCGGTGTTTTAGACCGTTGGGTGCTTGATTTTGTGCCTCACACTGGTAGGGATTTCCACTCTTGTCGGAGGAGCTACAGCAGGGAATGCAACAGGAATGAAGGTAACTTACAAGGCAGAGGTCGGAAAAAAATATTTGCGAGTCAATAAATACTAGGCTTTGCAATTTAAGTTTTTATTGGTTGACAATACAGAATGGTATTGGACCAATTATTGGCAATAAAAATAGCAAAAGCTCACCGAGACACCAGGATCAGTCATCAGATCCGATGACATCACTTCGCTGTCCACCACACCATCTCCACACCAGCAGGAAACCGGGTAAGCTACGATACGCGAGACACAACTCAAACTTCATTTCATTTTCGAGCTACGATGGTCCTAAAAAAGCCAATCGCTGCCTGCTTCTACACATCACTCGGTCAAGGGCTGTTTCGCTGCAATATTTACGGCAACAAGCGGAAACAAGCTGGAGGGACAGGGTCAAGTCGCATCTGGACGCGAAGCATGCGGGGCATCACAATACATTTTAGAGTAGTTCGGGTCGCTCACCGCAATCGTACGGCTTCGTATCCGAAGAAGCTAGTCATCTGTTCCAGTGGATTCAGTAGGTTATCATGAGGAACATGCCAATCCACGAAGTTGAAGATGCTCTAACACTAGTCACCTTTAAAACAAATTTTGACAATATGCCCACGTAGATCTTTATCGTGGGAAGCTGCAGAGACCCGTGAGTACACCGCATCATTTTGAATCTACACTTCAGTACTTACGGAAGCTGGTTCAAGCGCTTTCTCTGGTAGCTCTTCCACGAAGTTCTGTACTGGCGCTCGCGTCTTTCTCATCTTCTCACGAGTTTTCCAGTCTTAGCTCGGCGTGTTGGTTTCTGGGCTTGCTGAGGTGGTGTTATCCCCGCTGGAAGTCGGACCACAGCGAGTCTAGCTTTCTTGTGATGCGCAAGAGTCGGTCGGCTATCACGACTGCCGGATTTGCCTTCAGCAATACCCTTCTTTTTTGCTGAAGCTGAAATGCTGCAGGTTTTACTGAGTAGCGCTAGAAAATCAACAACATAAGTAGCAACATAATTAGGGCTTGGACAACAAAATAAAAAATTTGTGTAGGCCGACTTCCACAAACTTTTATCTTCCCCCATAACGAATATTCGCCTCCAAAGCAACGCCGAATCCACCTGTTCTCTGTCTCGGATACCACCTGCTGAGTAGCCTCGCCCTCGTCGTTGACATCGCGAGCGTCCACCGCATCGTTTGGAGTGCGATTGAATTCCTCGTACCTGCAACTCCCACTGAGCTCACCATTTTCTGCTTCTCGCCATGCGGTTCTGACAAACTGGCGGATAGTGTTTTTGTAAACCTTAACAAGCCAATTGGTCGTACCGCAAATTAGCAAACTTATCAAGCTTCTGCAACATAATATAGCAGCACAAAGTACCCTTCGCGCCAACTTCGTTTTCATGCTCGATGCCAACCGTGGCCTTAACCCTTCTTCACAGCTGTCCGTCTGCATAGCCGCATCCTTCTCCATAGTAGCGTCATTCTTTACAGCCGCATTCTTCTCCGTTGCATCCTTCCTCACAGCCGCATCCTTCCTCAAAACCGCAACATTTGCTACAGTCACGTCCTTCTCCACAGTCGAAATTGCAGCTTCATTCCTCGTTCCCGAGGCAAGGTCCTTGTCGGAGAATCCGGACCCACGCTTTCGTATTCGCCGTCCACACCGTTGTCTAGATCGAGCTCCAGCTAAAAGTCATCGTCTCCGTCATCTTTTACAAAGCCACGGGTTGCAAAATCGTAGTCCAGAGGTTTGTGCTCACGCATTGAAGCACGCATCTCTAGCAATAGCGCCATGCACCCACCAACAGATTAGAATGTCTATACATAGCTCACCGATTGTACATTCGGCTTGCGGGTCTTGCGGTCCTGCACCCTCTTTCAACTTTGAGGGTGTCTCCTCCACATTTTCCTTGGCAGGCGTCGTCTTCTTGGCACTCCCGGGGCAGGGCTCCGCTTAGAAATTAATTTAAAAAATATTTAGAAATTTAAAATGGCGATCCGCAAAAAAAAACTTAATTTTTATTTAATGGTAGTAGTACTTATTGATATCGGCTACGAGTCCTTCGAAGTACTCGGAGGGATCAAGGGCACCATCAGGTACCAGGACCGCCACAAGTATTCATCCAAGTAGGAGGCGAGAAGATTCTTGTCGATGCCCTGCATCTTCTTCAGTTTGTTCTTTACTCGGACCTCCCACGTCCCCTCGATCCGGCTGGTGCAGGCGCCGGTCGCGGAGTCTACGAAATGTACGAAATAGTTGACCCACTTGTGTTTGAAGCGCGTGCCTTTCAGCCAACGCTTTTTCTACAGTGTGTGTTTTAAACTTGTAGAGACGTAACTAGAGTACTAGTCCGACATAGTGGTGATTTCAGCATTGATATGTTTCTTAATCACAGAGCTGGTCATCTTTTTGGTACGATCATCGTACGTTAAGACACCGAACCAGCGACCGTACGTACGGTCGACCCCACGAAAGAGCCAGCAGTCATCGTGGTGTACACCACGATGTTACTAGCTCTTCTTAGAACTTGTCTAGCCAATCTCAAGGGACCGCCGACCTAAACATTATTTACGAAGTATTATAAAATATCATTTCGTACCAAGATCCACCATTTATAGATTTACCTGCATAGGACAAGCCACCATCTCCTTGCTGCATACATCTCTGCAGAACGAGTACCAATCCGTAACGACCTTGTCGCTGACGCCGACCCAAGCCGAGGCGACAACAGCGGGAAGGCCCGACGCCCAAAAGCCCAGGCTGGCACAGCATCAGCCTCGCCTTCAAGAGAAGGAGCCAGCCCCCAAGCTGCGCTTCTTTTGACACCCTTTTTGGGATCACCGCCACCTCCAGCGCTTTGCGTGCTTCTGCACGGCTCCAGCGGCGGGCGGACAGAGACGCATATCTCC